TCTGAAATCCCAGGGAAGGCTGAGCACTGTGCAGAGAGGAGGAGATTTTGCTCCTGCCTGTCTGTGGGGACACTGCAATCGGGGTGCGGAACTGCAGCTGTGCACCCTGGGGACTCCCTCTGCTGTTCCATCCCTCAAGTCCCAGGAAGCCCCCTGCATCATCAACCCCTGGGTCAGAGCATTGCAGGGGAGGGAAAGACTGGAGGACAGCCGGGAGGAGGAGCTGCTGGGCAGCTCGGAACAGAGGGCAGGTAGAGGCTGCCGACAACCCCAAAGTAGCTTGGGCACAGGACAGACCGGTAAAACAAGAAGAAAGTATCAGAAAATATCTGCCAGCGTCCTAGACGGCGTAGTCCTGCTTCATTTAAGACTAGAGATGCTTGGAGTCTGGGCTTGGAGTCAGTCATGCGAAAGAATATCATCCTGGACATGATTTGGGGGAACCAGAGCAGCTCTGGGCACTTCTGCCCCCCTTGAACCTCCTCCCCAAGGTAGAGAGCCTACCCCTAAGTCCTTCTCATCCAGATCTTCCTCTCTGAGACACAGAGCCCAGGATGTCTTATGAGGAGACCAGCTTCAGTCTCAGCGATCAGGACAAGGTAATGGCCAGAGCAGAGGAACAGGACCTCCCGTCCATCCTTTGGTGGAGACCCAAGCCTAGATTTGGATGAAAACATCCCAAATGTGACAGAGAACGAAATGGTCTTCTCAGTGGAAGGCAGAAGGCCCTGAGGCTCAAGGTCCGGTGTCAACTCCTATTCCACGTGAGCATGAGCATGTTCACTGGCTGGCCCTGCATGCTGCCACAAGCCCTGGACCTGCAATTCCCAAAATCCCCTCTAGCCCAAATGCCACCTTTTAGGGAATGGCAGAAGGAAGGGTTGTCTACACTCTTCCCAGGCCTCATAGAGCTCCTGGAATCACCACATGCCTTTGAGTACTGGGTGAGCTTGAGCACAAGCACGCGTGCACACGCGCGCACGCGTGCGCGTGGCGCGCGCGCGCGCGCGCGCACACACACACACACACACAC